AGGTCTTTAGAGAGGGACATCATGCTGGGTAGAGTAGAAGGACAGCGCAGGAGGGGAAGACCAGTGACTGGGGTAATCTGGATGGGTGTGTCAGAGGCAATGAGATTGGCACAGGATAGAGCACAGTTTAGGGCTGTTGTACATGGGATCGCTAGGAGTCACAAACAACTCGACGGCACATAACAACAACAACAAATTCAGTTCAAAGTAAAACAGAAAGCTGCTCATGCAATAAATGTTGGAGAGGATGTGGAGATATAGAAAGTCTCATACAATGTTGATGGGATTGTAAAATAATACAGCCACCCTGGAGGACATTTTGGCATTTCCTCAAAGAGCTGAACATAGAAATTCCATATGACTCACCTGTTTCAATGCTAGGAATATATACCAAGAAAATTAGAACTGAGACACAAACATATATCCGTACACCAATGTTCATAGCAGTGTTTTTCACAGTCTCAAGAACAGGAAACAGCCCGAATGTCCAAACACAACTGAATGTATTGAGGAATTGTGATACATTCACTGAACAGAATACTATGCATAACTCAGGAGAAATTGTTTTTAAAAAATACTTCATAACTTGAGAGAGACTGGAGAGCCTTATGCTGAGTGAACTAACTCAGTCTCATAAGGAGAAATACTGCATAAGGCCATTATTACAAAAATAGAAAGAAAAGTAGAAAAACATGTATGGGAATCCAAGGGGGAAAGGTTGGAATGTAGAGGGGAGGATATGCAGGGAGGAAGTCACAAGGCTGCACAAATTGGTGGGTGGAAGGAAAGTAGTAAATAGGAAAGACCCGGAAGGGACTTATAAAGAAGGGGTAATGGTGGGCATAATTCAATAGGTATTACATTTATAAAACACAATGTATGAGAATGATTGTATGAAACAAAATGTGAGTAAAGGAAATTATGAAACACAGCATATACAAATTTTTATGTAAAACAATATGAATAATTTAAAAAAAAATAAAGTTGCTAGAGTAAAAATTCATACCAAGAATTAAAAATAACAACTAAAGACTGTTAGTCATGGCTAAAGAGTGTAAAGTTTTGTCTTAAAGAGAGAAAATGAAAATCATTTTAACTTTCAAAAATAATATCATTATCATGAACTCTGCACTTGTAAAAGAAACAGGCACCTTCTGTACGTAGGTGGGGAGGAGTCATTGTCAGTGGAGCATGCTCCAGCAGCTGTGGACATTTCCCATGGACATGATATTTTTAACCCAACTTAGCCACCTTTCTATCAAGAACACTTATTTATGATTTGGCTGGGCGATTATAGAACATAGTGGTGGTTCTGGAAATTTCTTCTGGTAAAGGTTACTTACATTAATTGGTTCTCAAATATATTTTCCATATATGAAATCACAGGCCAGTCTGTCCATCCCTTCCTTCCTCATACTGAATTTATGGATAAGGTGCTAGTTAATAAATAGAGCAGAATGTGTACAAGGAAGCAAGATCTCTGATGATGGCTGTTTTACTAAAAGGGCTTCCCATAATATAGACATGACTGAAAAAGAGGAAGCCTGATGCACCTGGGAGGGGTGTAAAGCAGACAGGTGTAGCAGTGAAGGAGCCAGGAGAAACATTGAATGAAAGGAAGGTGAAGAGTACAGTCACGTTAGAGCAATTGGCCATTTGAAGAATTGGAGAAATACTCAAAAAGTAAATTATAAAAACTGAGACAGGAAATTGTATGGACAGCGTGTATCCAATTTTCTGATGCACACCTTTCTTGGGAAAAGACACCAACAAATAGAAAGAGAAATTTACTTAAAGATTAAGTGCTTTTAATTGTTCAATCTTTACATAATTTTTTAAACTACATGTCCTATGAAACTGAAAAAGTGATTTGGCAAAAAAAATGTGGCTTCTTTATTTTCTATAACTGATTTAATGAGGCACCTTCTCCATGAAGGCTACTACTTTTCTTCTGATTATAAAACACGTATTAATTTCTAGATAGTTGTGGGCTCTCTTTCTTTCCTGTCTTCAATATAGTAACTGTCATCAGCAGGCCCCACTCTCGGGTCTGGGATGGTGCTGGAGTACAGCTCTTTGGCCTTGACCTCTGACATTTGAAACCCATCATGGGTGGTACCAGACTCAGTAAGCACTCAAACTTCAACAGGCAACCCAACCCTGCAAGCACTTCCTGAAGTCCTGATGAATTCATGACTCCCAGGCTCCTGTGCAAAGTCTACTGTGGTTCTTGACCTGATGCAAAGCTGTCTTTACCCAAGATGGGACCCATGGATGGCATTCTGTGGAGTGTATGTGACATGGTCATTCATGCCACTTAAGTTGAGCCTTGTTTCACCCAACAGCCTGCTCACCATTACTGTTTTGTTGCTATGGGCCTCATCTCTTCGCATCTCTGCCTATTGAGCTTCCCCAAGTGAGGCCCGGAACTCCTCTGCTGTTGATCACACCCTCCCACCTTTGTTCCCGACCCATAAATTCTGACACATCTGTCTGCTCACTTCCTCAATCCTCGCCTGACTCTGTGTACTTAGCCTTCCTTCAACTTCCTCAACATCCATCTTTCTCTTCCCAAGACAGTCATTCTCCTGTCCTTCTTTGTAACCTTAATGGTGGAATAGCTGAAGGGAAACATTAATTACAGGGAGGATTTTTAAAAAAATTTTTTTCAAAACTTCTTCCTTATGTATGTTGCTATAGTTGCTACAACTCTTAGTTGACTCAGTGGAAGTTAACAGTATAACCCTTTTGCTAAAATATTCCAGCTGCTGTTGTTGATAAAAATCTGATAAACATGTTATTGTTGAATGTCATTCAAATCATAGTGACCAAAATAGTGAACATGCACAACAGATATGAACCCTGTTCTATCCTGTGCCATCATTATCATTTCCATACTAGAGCCCAGTTCTGCAGTCACTGTGTCAATGCATCTCTCTAAGGATCTTCTCTTACACCAACCCTCTCCTTTTGCAATGTCCCTTCCCAAGGCTTTGCCTCTCCCAACAACATGCCCAGTATATGTGAAGTGTTTATCTTTGCCTTTAAGGAACATGCTGACTTCATTTTCTCCAAGACATATGTACTGGTTCTTTAGGCTGTCCATGGGATATTCATGTACTCTTTTCAAACAACACAGCTCAAAGGTATCAATTCTTCTTCTGTCATCCTTATTGACTGCAAAACTCTCTGTTGTGTAGCAAGTGATCAAAATGCCACAACCAGAATCAGGGGCACTTTAGTCTTTCTTTCATTTTGTTGGCTTTTTTTTTGGGGGGGGGTGTTTTTTTAAGGGCACTTTAGCCTGATTGTTAATGAACCTGATGGATTTCTGGAAGAATGGGTGTTACCTGATCAAGCAGATTAGAAGGCAGTCTCAGATCCTGTCTTGTGCAAATCTATGTATGAGGTTCCCGATGTTGAGTTAGGAGGGCAAAAGGTAAAAATCTAGACTATGGCTGAAATCTGAAGGACAATTACCTGGCCCACTGACTGGAAAAGATCCATATTTATTCCCATTCAAAAAAAAAGTGACACAAAGGCATGGAAATGATCTAACAATATCACTCATATCACACACAAGCAAAATCCTTCTGAAGACTATTCAGAAATTACTCAAAGAGTACATTGACATTGAACTACCAGAAATAAAAGCTGGGTTTAGAAGAGGTTGAGGCACTAGAGATACTATCACCAATGTCAAATGGATATTGGCAGAAAGCAAAGAGTACCAGAGGAATATCTATCTGTGTTTCATTGAATATGCAAAGGCATTTGACTGTGGGGATCACAACAAATTGTGGTGAACCTTGAGGAAAATGGGAGTCCCAGAACATTTGATTGTGCTTATGTGAAACCTACACTTGGACCAGGATGCAGTCCTCAGAACAGAGTAAGGAAACACTGCATAGTTCAAAATCAGGAAGGGAGTGTGTCAGGGATACATCCTGTCTCCATACATTTTCAATCTATATGCAGAATAAATCATTCGAGAAACTAGGCTTTATGAGGAGGAATGTGGTATCAAGATTGGAGGAAGACTCATAAACAGCCTACATTATGTATATATTGCAACCTTGCTTGCTGAAACTGAAGAGGAGCTGAAACACTTGCTGCAGAAGGTAAAGGGCTGTAGTATTCACTATGGATTGAAGCTCAATGTCAAGAAGACAAAGATTCTCACCAGTAGGCCAATTGGCAGCACCATTATAGAAGGAGAAGAGGCTGAAGTTATTAACAATCACAGCTTGCTCAGCTCCACAATCAACACTCTTGGCACCAACAGTCAAGCAATCAAAAGATGAATTGCATTGGGAAAAATCTGCAATCATGGACGTCTCCAGAGTGCTGAAGAGCAATGATGTCAGTCTAGAGACTAATGTGCCCCTAATCCAGATCATTATCTTTGCAGTTATTTGCTATGCATCAGCCTAGGGATTACAGAAGAACTGATGCCTTTGTGTTGTGGCGCTAGAGAAGAGTCTTGAATATACCATGGACTGCCAAGAAAACAAATAGATCTGTCTTGGAGAGGGTGAAACTTAAGTTTCTCCTTGGAGTATACTTTGAGCATGTGGCCAGGAGGGACTGGTCCTTAGAGAATGACATCATGCTCAGAAAGATGGCGTGATGGCACAGGAAAGGAAATCCGCAAATAAGATTAATTGATACAGTGGTTTGGTGTGTCAGAATTAGTGAGACTGGTTGAGGACATGGCAGGATTCAGAGCTGCTGTACACTATGGGTTGCAAGTAACTCCAAAGCACATAATAACAACAACAACAAGGCACTTTAGTCTTTAAATTTCTGTCATTGTTCCTCAGTTAATTAGAGAAGTCTTTCATTGTATACTTTCCCAATGCAATATATCTCCTAATCTCCTGACTGTTGACACCAACGGTGTTGATTGTGGACCCAATTAAGACGAAATTGTTTTCTTTTCTCCATCCCTCATTATTTTGCCTAGTGGTAAAAATTTTTGTTTACTTGATGGTGAGACAGAAGCCATATTTAAAGTTGTAGTCTTTGATCTTCTGCAGCAAGTGCTTTGAGTCTGCCTCAGTTTCAGAAAGTAATGTGGCATCTACATAACACAGGTTGTGTATGAATCTTTTTTTCTGATAATGATGCCACATTCTTTCTTAAAAGTGCAGTTTCACAATTGCTTTGCTAGCAAACAGATTGAATAGGAAAAGGATGGCAACTTCGTAATTTTAAAACATATAGTGTAGTGAGCAAATTGGCAGCACCAAGACAGATGGAAAAGAGATTGAGACTGTTACCAATTTCATCTTGCTCAGATCCACAATCCACAAGACTCTTGATACCAGCAGTCAGGAATTCAAAAGATGAATGATATTTTCCTAGTATCTAGAATGTCGAAGTTCCGTTTCCATCTTCACAACATCTAGTTTTCTCATCTTCATACTTTTTACAGCACATGTTTCAATTATTAAAGGGTGTTTCTCTTCATTTTCACCTATTCCAATCTGAGCTGTACCATTGGAACTACAGTTATGGGTTCCCCTACTCTTATTGTTTTCAGAGTTTTGTTGTTTCAGAAGTAAATGACCAATCCTGCTTCTTAATATGGTCTCTTTGTTGACATTTGTCCACTATGATTGAACTTTCTGGTGTTTGCAACACTATTTACATAGCTTTCAGCATCACAGCAACCCATAAATTACCCTAGTCCAGCCAATTGACAGATAAGTACTGCACTAATAAGAGCAAATTCTAAACAAACAAGTGTATATACACAAAAGCTAAAATATAATTGCTATTGTTTTTAGATGCCATCAAGTTGAGTACAACTCATAGTGACACTATGAACAACATATATGAACTGCCCTACCTTGTGCCATCCTCTTAATTTCTGACATATTGGACCCATTGGTACAGTCACTATGTCAAGCCATCTATCTCATTGAAGGTCTTCCTCTCTTTCATCAGCCATCCATCATTCTAAGCATGGTGTCCTCTCTGAGGAATAGCACCTGCTAGCAACATGCTCCAAGTATATGAGACAAAGCTTTGTCATCTTTGGCTTCAAGGAACACTCTGACTGCACTTTCTCTAAGACATATCTGGTTTTTTTCATTTGGTATCCCATGGGCTATTCAGTCTTCTTCTTCCACATCACAGCTCAAAGGCATCAATTCTTCTGTCCTTATTCATTATCCATCTCTCAGCAGCATAGCAAGTAATTGAAAAGATCATGGCCTGAATCAGGTACACATTTTAGTCCTCAAATTGAGGTCATGATTCCTTAGTAATTTGGAGAGGCCTTCACCATCAGACTTTCTATAAAAGGCATTGGTGAAAAATAAGGCCCTAGGATTTGATGGGATACCCATTAACTTGTTTTAATTAACAACAGATACTGCTCTCACCAGTCTATGCCAGGAAATTTGGAAGATAGCTGCCTAGCCAATAGATTGGAAGAGGTCTATATTTGTTCCTGTTCCCAAGAAAAGTGACCCAACAGAATGTGGAAGCCATCAAATAATATCATCAATATCACAGACAAGCAAAATACTGTTGAAGATCATTAAAAAATGGCTAGAACAAACAACACATAGAGAACTGTCCAAAGTTCAAGGAGTATTTAAAAGAGGCTAAGGCACGAGGCCTATCATTGCTGATATCAGATGGATACTGGCTGAAAGTAAGATTCCCAGAAGAATGTCTATGTATTGACTATACAAAGGCATTTAACTGTATGCATCATAACAAGATATGGCTAACATTGAGAAGAAAGGGAATCCCAGAGCACTTAATTGTGCTTATACAAAACCTTGGGGGAAAAGTCAAGGACTGTAGTCTCCAATATGAATTGAAGTTCAACATTAAGAAGACAAAGATTTTCACCACTGAGCCAATTGGCAACACCACAATAGATGGAGAGGGGACTAAGGTTGTTGATAATTTCAACTTGCCTGGCTCTACAATCAACACTTTTGATGCCAGCTATCAAGGAATCAAAGATAAATTGCATCAGATAAGTCTAATGTCAGTGACCTCTCTAAAGTGCTAAAAAAAGCAATGATGTCAGTCTAGAGATTAAGGTGTGCATGATCCAGGCCATAGTCTTCACAATCACTTGATGTGTATCAGAGAGTTGGACAATGACTAAGGATGAAAGAAGGAGAATCAATGCCTTTGAGTTGTGCTGCTGAAAAAGAGTAGTAAACATACCAAGAAAACAAAGAGGTCTGTCTTGGAGAGGGTGAAACAAAGTTGCTCCTTGGAGGCTAGGATTTTGAAGCTTTTCTCACTCACTTTGGGCACATGGTCAGGAGAGACCAGTCCTTGGTAAAAGACATCACGCTTGAAAGGGTGGAGGGATAGTGCAGGAAATGAAAAAAACCCTAGATGATACGGATTGACACAGTAACTGTGAGAAGTAATGGGAGTGGCTGTGTCAGAGTCAATGAGACTGGCTCATGACAGAGCAGCGTTCAGAGCTATTGTATATAGTGTCTCTATGAGTCATAGGCAACTCAATGGCATGTAAGCTGCCATGTGTGCAAACAGAGAACAGGAATACTACATGGTTTAAAATTAAGAAAGGAGTGTGTCAAATTTGTATATTCTCTCTTGCACCTATTCCATCTATATGCTGAGTAAACTGAGAAGTTAGATTCTATGAAGAAGAATGTGGCATCAAGATCAGAGGAGCAAACGGGAGGGAAGGGGGGTGGGGAGAAGGGTGCAACAATGAATGAATGGAATTCCAAAATCTCTGTAGATGTTCATTGAAATAAAAAATAAATAAATTAAAATAAAATTTTAAAAACATCAGAGAGAGACTCATCAATAACCTGTGTTATGTAAATGACACAATCTTGCTTGCTAAACGTGAGGAGGACTAGAAGCACTTGTTGAAAGTGATCAAAGAAATGGTCTTTTAAATGGATTGCATCATAACATCTACAAAACAAAAATCTTACCTCTGTACTTATAGGCAACATTATGATAGATGGAGAAAAGATTGAAACTGTCACAGATTCATCTTACTTGGATTTCCAATCAGGGTACCAGCAGTCAGGAAATCAGGAGCCATATTGCACTGAGAAAATGTGCAGTCAGGGACTTCTCCAAATTACTGAGGAGCAATGTTGTCAGTTTGGTGATTAAGATGCATCTGATTCGGCCATGACCTTTCTGATCACTTGCAAACCATCTAAGAGCTGGACAGTGATTACGAATGATAGAAGAATTGATGTCTTTGAGCTATGGTGTTGGAAAAGAGTACTCCATGGACTCACAAATGCATTTAATTGTGTGGATCATAACAAATGATGGCTAATATTGAGAAGAGTGAGAATCCCAGAATACTTGATTATGCTGATATAAAACCTACAC